AATTGATTATTTCATAATTTTAATAGATTAAAACGTCTCGGTTAAAATTGTGTTCTAAGTAACTTAAGTTGTTTTAACCGGTAAAAAGATGATTTAATCAATTAAAACAGAGAAGTTAAAACTATGTTGATTCTATTAAGTTATTTTAGCTAATAAAACCAGTTTTAATCGATTAAAACAAAACATTAAAAAATATCACTATGTCCAATGAGTTATTTTAACTAATGAAAATCAAATTTAGCATTAAAAACAAAACTTTTCAAAAATCACCAAATTCCAGGGGTTTGTTTTAACTGATAAAAGACTATAGCAATCTATTAAAACATTTTAGCAAAAATTCACTAAAGAACCCAAGAACATTTTAACTTATAAATGAAGTTTTAACATTAATTTTTTGAAACTCATTTTCATCAAACTTGACCAAGAACATTTAACATATGAAAAACATAGTATAATCGATTGAAACTTTGAAGTATACATGGGTAGTGAGGTTTAATGATTTTAATCAATTAATTCAAGTTTTATCAATTAAAAGAGTGAACCTAGAACATTTTAATGGATTAAAACATATTTTAACCAATTAATCAAGCTCTTAAAAACCAATATATTTTTCCTTATAAGGCATCCAATCTAACATAGTAAATGATTAATTATGAAGGAGCAAAGGCATACAAAGATCTTCATAGCTTGACTTCATCAAATCTAAATCATCAATATACTTCATGTTCATCAATAAACACCTATTTGTTGATAATTTATATTTTTGGATAATAATAATCCTTTTCTAGGTACTAACTTTAAATATCTTCAAATGTGCATAACTAAATTCATATGTTATTTTTCAGGATTATGTATAAATTGACTAGTAACAGTAGGAAAGATCTGGTCTTGTGTATGGTAGGTACATTGATCTCCCTACAAATCTTTAGTATATTTGTTTATCAATTGACACTTGATTTGATGTAATAGATAACTTTAAACCTTCCTCCATTGGTGTATTTGCAAGCTAACATACATGTTTCTTATAACAAGTCTAAGGTATATTTTCTTTGAGACAAAAAAAAAAAAAAAATTCTTTCTTAGATCTAGGTACTTCAATCCATATGAAATAATTCAAGGGACCAAGATCCTTTATTTTAAACTCTTTTGATAAATACTGTTGTAACATTTTACTTTCCTATAAATCATTTATTGTAACAATCATATATACACATATATAATAAATGCAATTATCTTTCCTTACTGTTTCTTGAAAAATAAAGTGTGGTCTGAATTATTTTGATAATATCTAAATATAGTCATAAATTTTGAGTAACATTTTAAACCATGCTTATGGAGATTGTTTCAACTCATACAAAGATTGTTTATATTTGCATATCTTTTTTCCTGATTTTTTAAATGCCATGCAACTTGTTGGGAACTTCATGTACACATCTTAGTTAATTCCCCAAGTAAAAGTATATTTTTACGTCAAATTGCTTTAATGATCAATCTAGATTTGCTATCAAAGACAATAATACTCAAAATGTGTTAATTTTTGCTATTAGAGAAAATGTCTGTGTGTAATTAACCCCATATGCTTAAATTTATCCTTTTAGCACTAGCTTTGTTATATATATTTTTATTGTGTCATCTTCATTGTGTTTAATAGTATAAATTCACTTACTGGTTTCTTTCCAAGTAAAATCAACAAGAGTCCAAATATCATTCTTTTGAAGTGAATTCTCCTCATTCATAACAATCATCCATCTTGGATTTGTTATAGTTTCCTACAAATTGTTAAGGATAACTACAATATTTTATTTGTTTTTATATTCTATGATTAGATAGATAGTGATTCATAAGATATTTAATTTTACTAGAGAGTTTTGATTCATAAGTAGGTTTAAGAATACCTCTAGTGAGACGATTTGACAATTGTTTTTTGCTAACAAATGATTAGTAACATCTTCATTAAGAGGTACATGTGAGACTTCAATGTTATCTCTAACAAGATATTCATGTGGAACTTAAATGTTATCTTTAATAAGAGATTCATATGGAACATCAATGTCAACTTTATAAGATTTTTGTGATGATCCAATATAGTTTCTTCTGCTTTATCTCCTAAAGGGTGATGATTATGCTATAAAGTCTAGATTTTATACTTGTAAAGTGTAGATTTACTAGATTTTTTGTTGGTTCCTTTCTCGAAATCGGACTCGAAGGAAAATATATTGTCTTCATGAAAAACCACATTCGTTGTTATATACATGTGAATAGTAGGAGGATGATAACACCTATAGGGGTGTCAAAATAAACTTATTTTGATAAGTTAACTTAAAATATCCGAGAAATAGGTTAGGCTATGCAAAAAATTTTGTGACGTAAATTGAACGGCTGAGAAATATGTATTATAAATTGTTTTTATAACAAACTTATTCTAAGAATAAATATCAAAATAAGTCTCTAGTAATCACTTATTCCAAGAACTAATGATTAAGATTAATTATTATTTTATATTAATAAATTACTAAAAAAAATGAATGATGATAGTGAAGAGTAAGTTTTTAACTTTTATTTTGGGATTGAATAAATCACTTATTTTACAATTTATATATTAAATCATTATATCTTAATAAAGACTAATTTTATTAACATAAATTTATTTTAAAATATTTATTTTTTATTAATTTTTTTATTAAGCTGTTTTAGTATAGACATGTTAATGATTTTCAATCTGGCCAAAATTGATTCGTTAACCTAACATATGATTAGACTATGTTAAAAATTATGGCCCAATTAAAAATATAGGCCTGGATGAGCCATTATTTTTTTACTTAGCTAGTAGTGCTAGGCCAGACTAGATTGGAGAATATGTTTTAATAGCTCTAAACGCCTATATCCTTTTTTATGTACCACACATTTGACAAAGACACATCGAATAGCTCGTGGGGTCAACTTGTTGTGTTGATACTTATGAAGATAAATAAATGAGACACATTCAAATATGCGAAACTAAGAATTATTGGAGTGACAAAGACACATCAAATAGCTCATGGGGTCAACTTGTTGTGTTGATACTTATGAAGATAAATAAATGAGACACATTCAAATATGAAGATAAATAATCATAGATGATTATTTATAGTTATTTCTAGCGTAGATACCTTCTCATTTTGTTATATAGGGAATGTCTCTTTTCTCTATTTTGACACTTGCATATCCTTCCTAAGATTAAAAACTTTCTAGTTTTGAACAATAAAATAAACTAATTTTGTTCTAAATGTATTTAATTTCTTTTTCTCAATTTGAAAGTTTTAAAAGATTCAAGATCTAAATAATAATTAACACTATGAAACTTGAAAAATATACACTGAAATATATTGATTTTTTGACATAAAATAAAATATATAAAACCTATTTATTTATTTACAAGATACAAAGTTGTTCCTAGATTATTAAAAAACTTAAATATTTTATAATTATATCAATTCTAATCTCATAATGTATAATCTATTAAAAAAAAAGTAATTCTTAATTAGACATAATGCTATTCTGCGTAAGCATGTTGAATTCAACTCGTGAGTTTGTCACATACAACTGGGATGAGGTGGGTTTTGTTTAATGCATTGGTTATAATTGGATTTAAAGTTCCTAAATTTTAAACATGGATACATTCGAACTGATACAACTACATGATAAATATTATAATAAAAATATTATTTATTTAATGATTTTATATTTTATTTTACGAGTATTATTTATATAAATATTATTTTTATTTTACAATTAGTAAGAAATATTAAAAATATTTATGTTAGAGTAAAATACGCAGGTATTCATTGAAAGTAAGAAAGTACGGGTGTAAGTGTGATCTGGGAAGTATGACTAGGTATTAATGTAATGTTTTTTTTATCGGGTCAAAAGTTAAATTAAATTGGAACTTTTTATTTCATAAGATATATGTAGAAACATCGTAAGTACTTCTTGAACAAAAAAATAAATAAAGAGAAAAATAAAATAAATTAAAAAAAGTTAACTTTAACTATATACTAATAATATGCAGAAATCATTTTCAATTAGCTTATTCGAAAATATTTCTTTTCTTATTTTTCTCTTAAAAAAGTTTATATATAGAAGTTTCCTCCAAACATATTCTAATTTTATATTAGTTAATTATACTATTTATATATATATATATATATATACATATATTTTTTTTAATGTTTAAACATTATATTTCAAAGTATAGATTAATTGAAAACCAAAATATATTTTTTTATTTTAACACGATTAGTTCTATCATTTTAGAGTTATCAACTATTTGAATAGATAATATTATAAGTACTTGTAACTTACAGATTAGTTTAACAAATTTCAGTTACCCACTGTCAACTTTTAATTCGAGTTTCTTTTGGAATTAACTTTCTAACTGTGTCAAACATAATGTTGGACTTTTTAATGTTTTGGAACAAAAGGTTATCTGATGTTTCAATTGAGAAATTAGAAATCAAGTTTTTGCTCTGAATCAAGTTTTAAAGTTCCGTGATCATTTTAAAGATCAAACAAGTAATAAATATTTGATTTAAACATCTTTTTCCTCAAATTTGAATAAATTTTTTCCCCTTTAATTTGGCAAACACTTCTTTTAATCTCTCTATCCTAAATATCATTAAAGATTTCGCCAATATGATTGATTTTGCTAGCCACGTTTATTTTTCTTTTAGAGTAAGGCATTCATGCGAGAGGCACTTCACAGTAGCCAGAAAGTGTGGGAGAATGGATTTGATGGCATTATATATATATATATATATATATATATATATATATATATATATATCAGTCTAGATAACTGATTCTTACCATTATATAGCAATGAATCAAACTGTTTCCACAATAGTGTTGAATGAAATGATGTTTGATAAATAAAAAGGCCATTTTATTGGAAAAGGAAAAACAGATGTTTTTAAGATCTATAAAGGAAGTAATTTGCAGCTTTACACTGCCATAGAACAGAATTACAAATTGGTCTTGGGTTTACCACTTCCAGTTACGCGCCTTGTCACCGTCCGCATGGTTACAAATTCTTCGGCAGAAGATGGGTGTATGCCCACCTAGATTAAACAGTCAGGTGAAGCAATCAGAATATATAATATCAAAAGAGGAAGGAGTCAAGAAGACACAGAACATTTATATACTGCTATGTGCAGTATCTAACATCTTAATTTCTAAATAACCACTGTACCCAGACTGCATTTTCTTACACCACTTAAATGTTGTCATTGTTCGGCGTATATTTCAGCTAATTCCAGATGTCATTGTATCAAACTGTGAATGAACTTACCGTGCTATCAAACTGTGCCTTGGTAGCTCCACACTTCAACGCAATAGCAATACCCTATTGATAACTAAATATTAATATCACTGATGAATAGATACAAAAAATTAAGCATAGTAAAACCACTGAAAAATAACTTCTAAAAGCACACCCACTTAATATAATAAGCTTTAGAGCAATAGGAATTGATCCTAGAAGAGATACCAACCTAAAAGACTAGTCCATTAGGAGTTTATACCAAGACTTACGTATCACATCAGACAACTTATCCTATTCAACATGGGACTCTTAGCATAGAGGCTTAAATTTGTTTGACTTTGATACCTTTGTTGTAATTGACAATTTGAAATGCGTGGTTAGTCATGAAACTTGGAAGCTTTAATCAATGTGGTTATGAATATGTTTTTAATGTTAGGTGTTTTTTCTTTATTTTTCATCACATATACATGGTTTAATATAACTTTATTTAAGATTCAAATAGCAGTTATCTCACTGTAGAATATTGGGTGAGGAGGGAGACTGCTATTGGCTAATACTATGGTAGCATCATACCAAATTATAGGTATTTAGCTAGAGAATGTGGAAAACAGACAACAAATTTTGAATAATAAAATATAATATAGACCTAAGTTTTGTAATGATGTGTTACAAAAATCAGTGCACTTAATTCAATTAATACTACTTCTAGACTTTTGTACCAAATTTATTAAGGAACGTATCATGAAATTGAAAAATTGGTTCCACTCTTGAGAGGATATATAAGATACTCCAAGTATTCTAAAGATATAATGAAATATTTCTTAGATACTGTAGCATAACGGTGCACTAAGAGGAAAGTATAAAGGTTTCTAAATTTTCGTTTTATATCCAGCTAAAGAGGGTGCACCATTAGGATACCTGTATAATTTCAGGTGCATCAGGTCCACACATCGAGGCTCCAAGAACCTTATCTGTCTGAGCATCAACAACAAGCTTCATAACAGTTTTTTCTTGTCGCCTATTTGAAAATATCAGCAAAAATAAGTGTTCTTCTGCAACAAAAATAACTATTACTGGGTCCAACAAAGAATTGAAGAGCTTGAAGTGATAATAAAGGCTAGCATAGATCCAGGTTAATAGTAACATTTTTTTTATTCTTAAAATCTAAAACAATTCACAATGGAGTAAATAAACAAAACCACCTCCAAAAGAATTTAAAATAAATGTAACAACTGATCCAAGTTGTCATGAATTCTGTAAGTCATTGGTTTGGAATAAAGGTAAAGAGTGGGTGAAAAATCAAGTCACTACACTTACCCAGAGATGGTATTTTTCATAGGATTGAAGGTCGAGGTGAAAACCAACAGATCACCTATGGTTTGCTCTATTGCCTGCTCCTCACTAAGACCAACTACAGAGAGTGGTGGAATGCTGCAGAACCACAGAAAAGAAAGAAACAAAATGGTTAACGAGGTAAAATTGGGAACGGGATATACCATCATTAGTTAACAATTTCAAAATAGTTAACCACTGGAAGTTTTAAAGTGCAAAAGAAACTAAACCTAAACACTGCACAGGCAATATTACTGTAGTCTGGCTTGGATGATTCCCCATTAAATACTGTTTTCTGCAAGTAAATTTATGTTAAATAACAATAAATAAGAGCACCATTGGACCAATTAACACCTGACTGGACCGACTCAATCCAGATGTAAATACGTTTGCTTAGCCACAAAATATCTGAGTACTTACTGCAAAACATGATGATTCCATCAAGGCCACAGGAGTAAGATTCATTCGGTTTGTGACATCACCCACAGCCCATATACTAGGTATGCTTGTGCGCGAATACTCGTCCACCTAACCACAAAGGAATGCAGAACATTTAGAACTATGGGAGACATAATCATTCTCTAGCTCTCAAAACAATTGTTCAGTTCAATATCCAGTCATTGATAAAAGCATTTAAGATGATACAACCTAAAAGATCAGTTTACTTCAGACATCTATACTCCTACTCACGTAGTAATTGATAAGAGAATGCTTCTTTAAACAAAGGTTTTCCCATTAAAATAGTACTTTCCTTCACATTTTCAAAGGCATGTAAACATACCAGTGCTTCAACTTCTACTTAGAAGGGATTAAATATAAAAATTCCTTTATACTTTACAATTTCTCTGGAGCTCTCTAATAACTCGGCACATCAGTCAAAACTAACCAAATTAGGGCATTTGCAGATTGGTATTCCAGTAGAAACCAGACTTATGTTTGTGTAACATGTGAGTCAAAGAGCAGTGCCCAAAAAGCATGCCATCAATAATTCTTTGACTTTTCAGTTACATATATTTTGATATTGTTTCTGTCCTTACGTATATGAAGTTGACTTTTCAGCTGTAATACATATAACAGTATACATATTTCTCTATTTCATTCAAATATACAATCCCTGTTACAGTTTGCATCTATATAACCAGAGACAGTATTTAGTATGATAGAATCACAATGGATACACCTATCATACAGATTCTGAAATGTGAACAACTTTATCTTGTTAGACTTCAAGGAATCAAGTGTAAAGGAGAGAGATGTGAACCTTTATTGCTCCAGCATTGTTAAGCTCAACACCTACAGCTTCTAAATTCAACCTCTTAGAATTAGGAGCCCTCCCTGTAGCATCAAAAGAATAGTTGAGAAGAATATATTTCAAGCAAATATTCCATGAGATAATACTTGTAGGATATGTTCTATCCCAACCCCCCAGAACATAAACCTCAACACATTATACATTACATCCATGTAAAGTTTTAGTATTATGATCCAGTTCTATGCTGACTGTGCAAAAGTTCATTTATCATGTACTGACCAAACTATCAAGTATCAACAATCTTGCCGGATAATTATACAATAATGAAACCACCAAATACATAAATTAACAAAGATACTATTACAAAGTGCTTCGCTATTTAAAGCAACAGTAAAAATAAATGAGCCCATGGAGTTTAGGGTTGTATGTATTAACTAGTACTTTTGTTTATGCATTGCACAAATACAAGGTGCAAGGTTATTTAAATTATGGACTTACTATAAATAATTTAAATTATAATACAAGGTTTTTAAATATTGACAACTTTGAATTTGGTTGAAAGCAAACAAATTTAGATAGTTGCGGGAATAATGTCTGAAATACATTTCCAAACAAGAGACGAGAAAATATTGATTTGTCTATTTGAGAGAGACTTCTATTCTACTCTATAATATAGAAATGGATATACTACTGTGTGTGTGTGTGTGTGTGTGTTTTGCATTTTACAAGAAATATTAGTTAGTGTAAATTTGTATTTGTACCCTAATTACAAGGTATGGAAAAATGGGTCAAACATGGTACGTAAACCCAATTAGCTCACCAAATGAGTTAAACAGGGTTACATGTTTTAACCTATCAACCAGAAAAGTCAAGGGCAGATTGGGTTCATCTGTCAGGTTGGATTCCTATCTGTTGGACAATGTTTTGTGGGCTATTAAGACTCTTATAGCGGGTTAAATATATGAATATTTGATGGATTGTCTATAAAATGTTTACTAAAATTCTTGTATTTTCTAGTTCCTATTGATTAATTAGTTATTTCTGTTTCTTTAATGCCTGAATTGTTGCTTCATAGAATAACTACCATAGTTATCTTCATGATCTTGTGCTTGGGTTTTCAGCATCATGTTATTAATTTACATGTCGAATTTTAGTTGCAACTCTTGGATATGCTAAGGATCATGGTCCTAAAAACCGCTTTCTTGTCCCGTTTGGTTATGGTGCAAAATCAGTGATGCACAAAACCAGTATCAAACCGATGGAATTAGAAAAAAAATAAATAAATAAAAAATAAATAAAAGAATTAACAAATTACAATTTTAACTTTTTTTCTTAATAAAGTAAAAATCAACCAACAATGTTAATAATTTTCATTTAGCTACATATAAACTTATTATTAGTAAATATTGTTGTATACATGTATTTAAAATTTTTAAGAACCCGGAAATTTATGTTTTATTTTAGTTTTCAGCATCATAAAATTATGATATTATCAAAATAATTTTATTAATACCGGTTTGACTTTGGTTGCACCACTAAACTTTGAACGAGTGTCTTGATCAGTTTAATGACTAGTCTAGTTTTAAAAGCATTGCTTAAGATAAATTTCTTAGTCTGAATGAAAAATATATACTCCTATTTCTTAGAAAGTGGGTTTGGTCTTAAACTTCACTATTAGAACCTAACTTGTCTCCAACAAAATCAACTTCTAAGATAGGGTTGTCTCTACTTATATATTATATTTTGACCATAACTCTAATCAATCTGATGCTAAACCATCACACTTGAGGTTGCAATTCCCAAAGGGGTCACAATTAAAATGACTTTCCATCTTGGAACAGATGACATCTATGCTCTAGTTTGAGTATTGAATAACATATTTGACACATGTCAATATTTCTAGATATAAGTTTCTATAAAATAGGGATTTTATTGTATTTAGATTTGTGGCAATTATATTCAGATTCATGTTCCAGTTAATTACGTACCTGGAGTAGCAGAATTATTAATCTCCTTATTAATACCCAAGAGTATAAAAATAGAAGATTTTCTGTCTCCATTCCACTCAGTTATTTACATCAAAACTCAATCCCTAAAGTGATTGATTTAATATCTGTAATTTCTCCCTAATTACATACAATAAATAGCATTCATCTGTGTGCCTCTAAAACGCACAACATAACGATATTTCTTCTCTATAGTATGCTTACCAGTGGCAAATAGTACAACATCTGCAATCAGCTCCTCGCCATGATCTGTAATAACTTTAATGCCATTTTCTGTTTTGATCAACTACAAAAATGAATTTTGTTACATTAGCTAAGCTCCCAACTAAAAGAATCGAATAAGTTCAACAAAAGTGAGTTGCAAACCCCAAAAAGAAATACCTGCGTCAAATTGGTCCTTGGATGTAAATTAATTCCCCTGCCTTCGAGATTTCTTGCAACTACAGCTCTCATTTCATCATCAAAACCTCTGTGCAAGATAGTTTAATTTTGCAAGGAGTAATGAATGCAAAATCTAAGGAAAATGCAACCTATTAATAGAGAGTGGTATAGCAAATGTTCTATAAATTCCCTGCCCTCAACATTTCTTGCAACCACTACTAAACATATATGAAACCAAATAAACTAGCACTTCCAACATTGAAAGTAACAATATTAAAAAAAAAATCATTAAATCGTAACTGTTATGTGGGGTTAGCGTGGATTTTTTTCGATATATTGCTAGAAATTGCTGCGAAAGGATATCATTTTTCAGGCTCCCAGAAAGAAAAAATAAATAAAAACTTGTTCACCAACGCTAGTGTGGAAAAATCCATGTTATCTATAAGAAATTCGCTGTATTTAACTTTATCAACTACAAACTTGACAACATAATCGGACATAAATTTCATGTGTGTGAGCATTTGTATTAACAAAAGAATAAATACGTTTACAAGAACTGTTTCCCGACTAATCTTTCCAATAGACATCCACTCCAAGAAAGGTAAGTGGCATATTATTAACTGTGAGAAATCAAATAGTATTTTAGGAAAGAATAAATCAGGAAATTTGTATATTTCCTTGTAATCTGTACAGATTTGAATAATTAGGAACAATCCCATAAATCAAGGGATCCTAGCATAAAATAGAGTTATTATATTTCTTAAAATAGTTTAGGTCTCCTGTATATATCTTATATCATCTCTTTGTATTGATATAATAAAAATCATATTTCAGTTAATCTAATTTTCCAGATGGTATCAGAGCTTCCAATCTAGGAAGCTCTGTCTGCGCACGATAAACCCTAAGACAACAGCCTGCATTGCTGCATATTTCTTAACCCTAAGACGGCAGCCTGCATTGCTGCTGCATTTTTCTTAACCCTAAGACGGCAGCCTACATTGCTGCTGCATATTTCTTAATCCTAAGACGGCAGCCTGCATTGCTGCTGCATTTTTCTTAATCCTAAGACGGCAGCCTACATTGCTGCTGCATTTTTCTTAATCCTAAGACGACAGCCTGCATTGCTGCTGCATTTTTCTTAATCCTAAGACGACAGCCTACATTGTTGTTCCATCGCACCTTTTTGCTATAATGTCAAGGGAAGAGGAGATAGAAAGGGTGAAAACCGTTCTTAGTAAGCTAGAAAAACCTACAGGTATGTGTTCTTTGGCATACTCAGGTAAGTTTCCACCTTCTTTTGGATTAAATGTCTCATATACGCCTTTTAACCATTATTGGATATTGGACTCTACAGTCACAGATCACATGACACCATTAGCCAAACACTTCTCCACATATTCCCCATGTCCCAGCAACAAGAAAATTGCCACGACGAGATGGAACCCTTATAACTGCAGGTTGGTCAAGGAAATATCCAAATCAATCCTTTAATAACCTTAAAAAGATGTTCTCCATGTCCCAAAGTTGTCCACGAACCTAGTGTCTATACAAAAACTTATAAAGGATTTGTCATGTAAAGTTGTTTTTTTCAACGATCATTGTGTATTTCAGGACAAGGATTCAGGGAGGATGATTGGACATGCTAGAGAATGGAATGACCTTTATTATCTCGAAGATCCAAGTCTGCCCAGCAAGAATAGAATCTTTCACTCCTTCATATCTGAATCCTTGATGACCAACAGAGAAAAAATCATTCTTTATCATTGTCGGTTGGGACATCCCTCTTTTGGAGTGATCAAAATTATATTTCCCTCTCTGGTTACCAAGTTAGATGTTGAGAATCTTCATTGGGAGGTGTGTGAACTTGCTAAGCACAAACATATATCTTTTCCAATAAGTAATAGAATTAGCAATTTTCCTTTTTATCTTGTTCATACTGATGTATGGGGACCTTCTAATATTCCAAATGTGTCTGGTACTCGATGGTTTGTCACTTTTATAGATGACTATACAAGGGTCACTTAGGTTTTCCTACATAAACAAAAATCAGAAGTCAGTTTTGTATTCCTAAACTTCCACTCCATGATAAAAAATCAGTTTGGTGTTAATATTAAGAGGCTTAGGTCAGATAATGCCACAGATTACTTCAATCATGTCCTTAATTCTTTTTGTAAAAAAGAAGGTATAATTCATGAGTCCTCGTGTCAACACCACAACAGAATGAGGTCGCAGAGAGGGAAAATGGACATCTATTAAATCAGACTCGGGCATTGTTGTTCCAAAAAAGTGTCCCAAAAAATTTCTGGACGGAAGCTGTCCTTACAGCAACATACCTTATCAATAGACTACCCTCTAGAGTCTTAGGATCAAAAAGCCCTGTAGAAGTTTTGTCGTCTTTCTATCCAAACTTGTCTACTACAAATAATCTTAAACCAAGAGTTTTTGGGTGCATCTCATATGTCCATATTCATAGTACAGACAGGGGGAAACTTGATCCTAGAGCCTTAATGTGTGTCTTTGTTGGTTACTCACCCACTCAAAAAGGGTATAAATGCTACCACCCCCATCCAAAAATTTTTTTGTGTCTAAGGATGTTACCTTCAATGAACAAGAGGGCTATTTCCATCAACCTTATCTTCAGGGGGAGAGTTTCAGGGAAGATAAGGAAAGTAGTAATTCTGGTTTTCCTATTCTTCCAGACTTGACATTTGAACCTAAACAAAATCATATTGAAAGTAGTAATTCTAGTTTTCCCATTCTTCCAAACTTGATATTTGAACCTAAACAAGATCAAATTGAAGTTGTAACAAATAAAACAAGTCAAGGAATTGGTCAAGAAAAGGAAGTTGGTCAAGAAAGTGAAATTAATTGTGAAGTTAATCAAGAAGATGTTGAAGCTGGAAAATTTGGTAAGAAGTTGGTGTACTCAAGGAAGACTAAGGTCATTCCAGGATCAAGCCATGTTCAAGAATCCAACTCGACTCCACAAAAAGAGGTAACAATTTTTTCTCCAGCTGTGCAGGTTGAAATTGAAACCCAAAATGATCATGACCTCCCAATTGCCATTAGAAAAGGCACCAAACAACCACTCTACCCTCTCTCAAATTACTTGTCCTTTAAAAATTTCTCTCATACCCATAAAACCTTCCTAGTAAACCTAAACACTATACTCCTACCTAATACCCTATCTGAGGCATTGTCTGACAGAAAATGGAGGCAAGCCATGGATGTAGAGATGGAGGCATTGGAGAAGAACAACACCTGGGAGTTAGTCATCTTACCAATAGGAAAGAGGCCAGTTGGATGTAAGTGGGTCTATATAATGAAATACAAGGCTGATGAATCAATTGAGAGATATAAGGCAAGACTAGTTGCCAAAGGGTTCACCCAAACCTATGGAGTTGATTATTTGGAGACCTTTGCTCCAGTTGCCAAAATGAACTCAGTTAGGGTGATATTGTCCCTTGTTGCAAATTGTTAGATATGATTAGATATTAGTTGATATTGTTTGATATTGTTAAGATATTATTAGATATTGTTAATCACAATATCATATAATATCTTTTATTTACTCTATTTGTATTCTGTTACTCTTTTGAGGAGTACCTTTCTTTATTATAAATACACTGCCCTATGTGTGGTAAATATATAAGGGAAATTAACCCTATACAGTTTTTCCCTATATTCAACATGGTATCAAGAGCTTAAGGTCTCTTGGGATTTTTTTTCGGCTCTACCACTGAACCTGCAGCTGTCGCCGCCTCCATCGCCGCCGCCGTCGCCACCGCCGTCCGCCGCCGCCGCTGTCACCGAGTAGCGGTTCGGACCGCCGAGCACGGGGTTTTGCTCGCCTCCTCCGTGCGACCTCCACCGTGGAAGTTTCGCGGTCATCGGAGCGGCCACGCTCCCTCACGCGCCTCCGAGCCGCGCCACCTTCTCCCGGTTCGCCGCGTGTGGCGGCGCGTCTCGCCGCCGTTCGGGCCGCCGATCTTTGCGCCGGCGTCGCCTCCTTCTCCTCTCTCCGGATCTGTCCTCGCTGCTCCAATCGGACCTCTTTGGTGTTTTAGGGTTTTTCTCTCTCTTCCTCCATGGCATCTTCAGCCGCCACTTCCAATTCGAAGTTACCTCCGTCAGCTCCGGTGGGTCCGAGCAATCTGTTTTTACTAATTATGTCAATGTGAATTTACCCATTGATAAAGTAGATGGTACGAATTATGCAACTTGGGCATCCGATATTAGACTTTGGCTTGAGAGTCGGGGGTATGTTGATCATCTTACTACCAAGGTAGATGATGTTCCTTCCAATGATCGTGTCCAGTTGGAAGAAAGTTGATGCTCATATATGTATGGTTCTCAAGAATACCATCCAATCTTCTTTAAAACAAATTTTTCGATCGTATGGCACATGTTATGACGTTTGGGAACAAGCCAAATTATTATACACCAATGACACTCAACGTCTTTATGGTGTTTGTTACAATCTTCTTGATGTTATTGCTCCTCGAGATAAGGATCCTGTGGCGGATTATGTGGGTAAGATCCATGCTCTTCTCCATGAATTTAATGAGTTATTACCCCCGCCTCGACTCCTGCCCAAGAATTAGAGCAACGATCAAAGTTTTTCATGGTTTTGATGTTACACGGACTTGCCGATAAATATGCCCCTGTTCGTGACCGATTTTGGGTTCCCCTGTTACACCCAGTTTTACCGCTACCAGTTCCTCCCTTTTGCGGGTGCCATGTAAACCTCTCAATATTCCCCCGTAGTTTCTAATGATTCATCTCGCCTTGGCCTCTCACCGTGATGATCGTAATCGCTCTCACAAGCCAGGCAAAGGGCGTGTCAAGTGTGACCATTGTGGCAAACTAGGCCACAAAATTGACAAATGTTATGCTTTACATGGTTATCCTCGCCGATCTGCTGCAGCTTGCTCGGACCGATTCTTCCGCACAATCCTCTGCTCGTGGATCCTCCTTCGTCTGTACCTTCGGACAAATCTGCTATCTTCAATGATTTTCTTCAATGGTATGAGGATCGAAAGCCCTCCAGGTTCCACTACTTCGTTGCCCAC